AGACTTGAACGCAAATGACACGAAGAAGAGCCTAGGAAACATTGATGCATGTGGGGTCGTGTGGGGTAGCGGCAGAGTGCTCGACTCGGAGCCAAGAGGTCCCGGTTTCAAGTCCTGCCACCGACGTTGTGCCCTTGGGAAAGGCACTTTACACGACTTTCCTCAAGTGAAAATGAGTATTGTCCTGTACTCGTCCTCTACGTTGGTAGCGGCATAAAATAAGTTGATATAACTTCAGTGTGCTTCACCATGTCTAGTCATGAAATGTTGGAGTATGAAAAAAAACATGGATGCACTGGAACACTCAAAACACAGATAACACGGATTATTAAGAACACAAAATCTCGGATTCTTTACAACACAGACAACATTGATTAGATCACAGGATTAAACAACAGTTACGCGGATTAAAACACAGATAATTATGGTAGTGAATGCCAGTATAGCTGGTATCGTTTACAGTAGTGAACATTAGTACATGCCATGCAGTGGAGTCCAGTTTGCTACAGATAACATTGCAGGAATCCACTGGCATTTACTCCCATTGGTAATTGTTGATAAAAACAACGTTTCGTAAAGTGATATGGCCTCGGCATATACATCTTTCGAGCTCCTTGATTCTTCAGAGCGCAGTCCAATGCCTAACGGTATTCATCTTAAAGGTTGGTCAGTTTAACGATCTAGTTGTCGCATTGCCAATTTGGTAACTGCCGTACACAGCGGGGTCGCTCGTGCCCGTGGGGTGATTTGGGTTTAATGTGATTGATGCTGCTACAAGTACTCAATCATCTCTGGGGTCTTACAAGTACTTAATCATCTCCAAATAGTGAATTCTGCCCTGGTCAACGACCTGAACTAGACTGTCTCTGGAGTTGGGTTACATAATGTTGCAATTTTATAGTAGGATGGATTTAGACTCTTGTTACCATATATGTTAATGTGTTAGAGTAAAGAATTAACAGAGCAGGCCATATGCAAAGATAAAACATTATTTGCAAATGTTACTTTTCTAGTTTTTGGTGTATCCTTAGGCATTTTTATCGGACTTTTGTTTTTGTACTGGTATATTTTTAAGCCTTCGGGTGGCATATGACATACCGGTAACAGTCCGGCAAATAGATACTGCCTGGCCAATTTCATACTGTCTTTGCAAAAGATCTGCTTGAAGATAACCAACAAGCTAGTGCGAGAGAAGGCAAGTCAGCAAGGGACAATCTAACATTCAATGGTGTATGAAATGGTGACAAATATTTAGAAGAACAAAACGTAATAGCACACACAAAAAAACTCTACAATATTACCGAAAATATAGTACTGTATCACCATATATGTAGTGTTTTTGCCGCTTGATTGCCTTCAAAGAAGTGAAACTTTTCTCCGCCTAGATAATTATAAGATTACCAGAGGGGAATAGTAGCACAGACAGTGATGAACCCTGCTATGTTTACTGGCTATAGAGAGCTCTACGGCTGAACACATACATACATCTAAAACACTGTAACAACCTTATCGCCATTC